GTGGGCATTCCCTATATAACGCTTCAAGCACCCGTTTCTACTGTTTTCGCAAACAGGCGCTCGTGCCCGCGTCTAGTTGGGTTGCCAATCTTTCCTTTTTCCCTATTTTTTAACGAGCAAAACACCTGCGTGCGTGGGCGTGATTCAAACTGTGACTTCCTTGTTACTAGTAATCTTGCACGTGCAACGCACGTCTCTACTAATGCTTGTTTTGAAGATCGAAAATAGTTTCATGCCAGCGAGATACATCTATTCCTAACTAAAAACACAACAGTTTTAATTACATAAGTTTGGACGTGCAACACACAATAAAAGCTCAGCAAGAAATTTTCTCCGCCTCATCTAAATATACGTGAACAAAATAAGCCACTAATCTTTTTTTAAATTAGACCAATGCTCCCTTGATCAATTGAAATTTCATAAATTTGGTACCTTGAATAACTACTGAGGGAACATAAAAGGACTTACATATCTTTTCTAAATATAAAATGTATATCTTCATCAAAGTCTTCTATATTGTAATTCAGCTTCATGTGCATATAATTCCTAATGTTAGCAATGATGGACACTAAGATATGGCCAATCCAAACATCAAGAAATGACAAAGTGGAGTAGAGCTAACACAACCAAAAGTGCTCATGGCATCTTAATTCGAAATATGAAATTAAAATGTCATGTAAATTTAAATTAGAATAGCTCACACGCAGCAAAATTTAAGGTGTTTGTGCAAAATATTTGGATGGCAACAAATGTAACACAAAAGGGTAGATTCCGCAAAATCTGCTCCCTGTAGCTTCGTTGAGGATGGGGACGGCGAGGATTCACGTGCTAGATGTTGGATCCGTGCTCGGGTGGTCGGACCATTGTTGGGGAGGACATGCATCAGCCGGAGGGGCGAGCGGGATAGGGGAACCTGTACATATTTCTATACATTCAGTTCAGTCTGTTTGTAGCAAGTGCGGTTCATTCTGTTCAGAGTTAAACATGGAAGGCATGTGCATTTGGAACAAGACCTTCCTCAGTAACAGTGTTTATCAATTAAAGCATGCGTTTGAAACAAAAACTAAATAAGAAACATCTATCAAATTTAGATCAGTGTATCCACTAAGTCCTAAAATCATGCAAAGCACTATCACCAACAGACGGTAACATTTCATGCCATTCTTCAATCTGTATGTGTGGGCTTATAATCAATACGCCTCGAGTGCAACTCAGCAAGCAAGTGCATGCATCTCGTACATATGCAGACATCACATAAACAGAGTGCAAGGCCATAATTTGCAAACTATAGTCGCTAGCTAGCAGGTAGCAGCATGCACGAAGAAGCTAGCTAGTTTGTGCTCCAGTCTTCGGTTTCTATTTTCATAATGGTAACAAAATGCATCAATTTCAGGGTTCAAATCAACAGAAACAGCAAAAAATTCAATGGAGACAAACACTCCAATCCATCCTGATATCCCCTAGATATGAACCAACGATCCATCAAACGTAGGTTAATTTAACAGGTATGACGTTATTGTAGATCTATTACCTGCTCGGCCTTGGATTCAGCTTGTAAGATCTCCAGCACCTCCCTGTCAAGGTTGACCCCGTACTGCGCTTACACATTCATCTCCATGAACTCCAACAAAGGGATCAGAGCTTCACTTGCAGGTAAAACCACATACAACAGTGTCAGTTGCAATCTTTGCGAAACAGAAAAGAGAAGAATTCGATGTCTTGATATATACGTGTACCGGTGCTGTTCCAGAGGCCCTTGTGATGGCGTCTGCTCCCGCCTTGGGGAGGACGCCATGCGCGCCCCGTGGAGACCGGAAGGACCTCCGTCGCCGCACCGGCAAGCGGCGCCTGAGCTCTCTTGGCCGACATCAAGGAGGCGATGCGGCGAATGGCGCCCTCCGGCGTGGCTGCCAGGGGACACGGCCACTCCCGCGGCAGCTGGTCCTCATACACGGCCACAACATCTCCCGGCGGGCGGCGCTACATGCCCCTCCGGCGCCCTTCGGCGTGAAGCGGCAGCCGACCCGGCAGGACGTCCTGGCGGTGGAGGCGTTTTGCCAAGACAGATCGTATCGAGATCGAGGGGACGTGATTTGAGTGGGATTAGTTTTCAGGGGAGAACGTACGTGATGCGTGCGTGCATTGGATTAGTGGCTAGTTAGCGGGAGGCAGCAGTTTTGTTTTACTTTGAAAGAGGCAGTAGAGGATAGCGGCCAGGCTAATGGCATGGTGGGTAATTAAAGCATAAAACATGTTTAGTACGTTGGAGCAATGTAGACTGTCAGATCACACGATTTGATGGATAAGATGAACTGGTTCTCCGCCCTTTCGTGCTTTTATAGGGGTAGTAGATATGCACGCCGCGCTAACCAACTCAGCCACCTCATCTTTGTGTTTCCTTACAGTTTTTTTGTTTTTTCTTGGAACGGTTTCGTTCGGCTTTTTTCTTTTCTTTTCTTTGTTTGTTTTTTCCTTTTTCCTTTTGCTAAATGTGTGATTTTTCTTTTCAAAATTGATGATTTTTTTCAAACTCAAAGATTTTTTTTTCAAAATTGATGAACTTTTCCAAATTTGATGTACGTTTTTCAGATACGATGATTTTTTCCCCAAATTAGATGAACTTTTTGCAAAATCAATGATTTTTTTTCAAATTCAATGAATTTTTTCCAATATCAATGAATTTTCAATTTTGATTTTTTTCATATTCGATGAAATTTTTCAAGTTTTTGAACATTTTTTCAAATTCGATGAATTTTTTAAAAATGATAAACTTTTTTCAAGATCTATGAACTTTTCCAAATTTGATTAACCTCTTTCCAATATTTTTTCAATTTCTTTTTCCAAAATTATTGATTTTTTCCTCAAATTCGTGAACTTTTTTGAAGTTTGTGATTTTTGTACATCCATGAAATTTTTTTAATTCCTGATTTTCCCCCCTTTTTTTCCTTTTCCAAAGTCAACGGCGATCGATCGAGGGACCAGGGGGGAACTGGCGAGGATGCAACCGGCGCCAACAACGCCGATTAGGAGCTGACGTCTTCATGCCTATTTGTTCCTTAGTTCCCTTGGTTTGTGCCAGCTTTTGGGACTCCAGCTCCCGGGCCAAACGTCTGTTTCCTCCGGTAGCCTTGGGCCGACGACCAGATGTGGGCCAGGTCATGAAAGCACCGCCCTTGGTGGGTCCATGGTGAAACTCTGCGGCTCCATTCAGTTCGTCAACCTAGTCGGCTTCGCCATCGGCATTACCATCGTCGCCTCCGTCAGTATGTTGTAAGGAACTAAACTAATTCAGACTCCACCACGACTTGCTACCTGTTGTATCTTGCCAATCTTCATGCCCTTTTTGCTGGATTTCATATGTGTTGCCGATGAACAGAGCGATCAAGGAGGCGGGATGCTTCCACAAGGAAGGGCACATGGGTCATTGCAGAAGTTCTTCCACGACACTGTACATTGCCATCTACGACATCGTTGAGTTCTTCTTCTCGCAGATCCCAGGCTTGAATGGTACTCCCTCCATTCCAAAATATAGTGCGTCCGCGCTTCCCGAGGTCCAACTTTGACCATAAATTTAACTAACGAGACCATCTGCGGCGGGAGAAAAAAATATATAATTGAAAACTTCTTTCGAATACGAATTCACTGATATAATTTTTGCTCCCGCCACAATCGGTCTTGGTAGTTAAATCTCCGGTCAAAATTGAAGCATGGGGATAGAGGAAGCACTACATTGCGGAATGGAGGGAGTATGTGATGGTTCTGTTAACACTCGCCATTGTCATGTCCATCACCTATACCCAATGGCGGAGTTTCATGAGGGCAAGGGGGGGCATAGCCCCCTCCCCCCTCCCCTCATACTCTATAAAAAGTCTTAAGTGTATCCTTGATTATTGATTTAAATATCCATGGTTTCTTAGAGTTTATGCATAAGTTGTCTTCTTTGCCCCCTCACCAATCTTCATCAAGCTCCGCCACTATCTATACCACCATTTCGTCGGAGGTAGTGGTGACTGCTGACGTCGCGGACTACTTAGTATTATTATTATGAGCTAATTACATTTTTGATGCATAAACTTGTACTCGAGGTATACATTTGACTACATTTCCGTTATTTACCGTTAACTCTCCACGTCAGCTAACTGAACATAATCAAAAACAGTGAGCTATTCAGGTTTCGAACTCGATAAATTACGTTGCACGAGTGGGATCCTAACCATTATACTACTTACTATTGGTTGCACAAATTATAGATATATACTTTACTATATGTCTATCCGAACAATTAATTAAGTCAAAATACACGTTGCATGGGGTCTGAACATTTTTTTTCTCAATTTCGATTTTTTTTGGGAGGGACCAGAAAAACGGGTTTAAATCTCGGTTTTTTCTGTGTTTTTCTGCAAAAGTGTCAAACAAATTTCGAATTTAATGTTTTCAGTGTAGGAATATATTGTCTTTAACTCCATAGATGGCAAGCTATGGTTAATGACACAACATACTTGAATCAAAAGAATTTCATAGAATTTTTGGAGGATTAGAATCCTTAGGAACTTTGCTATGTTGGTCGTTTAATCATAGGATTAAATCTTATATAGGATTGTTTTTCCTAAGGAATCATTTGTACTATATGTTATAGGAAATCCAGCAACCACTTCAATCTCTTTTTAGAACTTATTTGTTTCTTCTGTGAAATACTCTTTGCTAATCCTATCGAATTCAAATGAACATTTCATTGTGATCGTGTATTTTTCCTTTTTTTTAGGGAAATGTATTTCCCTGTTTTGAGAATCCTGGGAATCAACGAGGCCAGTTACTTCACACGAGTGGGCTGGTCCAACTAAGGGCCTAAGAGGGCAGTGGTCGAAGCCTGTATTTCTCCCCCAAAGCAGTAAAACCCATCGAAAGTACAAAACCCTTCTCGCCTCCGCCGCCGCCGCCGCTTGCCGACGGAGCCCGTAGAACCCCGAGTCCTCTATAGACCCCTTCTTGTCAGAACCCTCATGGCGCTCCTCCTGCGGCGAGGCGCCGCAGTCGCCGCCCGCACCCTGCGCGCCGCCGCCGCCTCCTCTGCTTCCACCTCCGTCCACCGCCTACCGACCGCCGGATCCCTTGCCGCCGCAAGAAACCTGCCCACCACGCACTTTTTCCTCCTTGAGATCCGGAGGGGCTTCGCGAAAGGGAAGAAATCGAGTAAGTTGCCGCACCCGCCCTCCTCGACTCACCTTGCCCCTTAGATGCTGTTTGGTAGAAGGCCACTATGTTTTGTTTGTTCCTTGTTAGGTCTTCTCTATTCGATTCCGTAATTCTTAAATCAGTGCACTGCAATTACCTTGTGGGATGGATCATTATAGGGATGTAATCAGAGACTTGATATTCTTGCTTCTTGGTCATTGCCTAGAGAATGATAGTCGAAGTGATACCGTTGAGGCCGCTCCTGATATCGGGCCGACTGTCAAATCGGCCGCGACTGCACAAATGGACACTGCCGTCGTTGCGCTGTCGCGAGAGCTGAGTAAACTTCGGACAGGGAGAGCTTCTCCTGGTATAATTATGATTTGCATCTTCATTGTGTCATTGTTTCTGCTGGCCAATGCTGTTGATGTAACCGATGTATTCTGCAGGCATGCTTGACCACATCATGGTGGAAACTGGGGATGTTAAAGTTGGACTGAGTCGTATTGCTGTTGTTTCTGTCCTAGATTCGCATACCCTATCAGTGATGCCCTATGATCCTAATGTAAGAGCCTTTCTTCATTATATAGATAGTAAATCTGACAAATTAATACATTTTGATACCACTTTGGTGCATCACGTGCAGGAGCCCGCAATGCCATAATTTCATGTATGCTTTCGTGTTCGGGGAAAAATGTGTGTGCTATGTTTGGTCCTAACCTTAATGAGTTATTTATAAGTCCCTCAACTCCAAAACCACTAAAACTCAGTCCCTCAACTAATTAAACCGGATACTTTTCGTCCCTGGTAACACTTAAGGTGGTTTTAGTCTGACATAGAGCTTGTTCAGCTATATTCGGTTCAGACTATGTTCAGCTATATTCGGTCCAGACTATGTCCAACTAAATTCAGTACAACGCTCTGAAATGTCTAGACTATTTTCAGTTATATTCAGATTTTGTTAAGCTATGTTCTCTACAATTTATTCAATTCAAACTATGGCATACACTTTCTTTGTTCAGACCTTGTCGGACTGTCCAGTTTTGGGACAAAATATATTATCAATGAAATGCTGAACATATGTTGGAGTTGCCCAGGATGAAGAAAGAAACTCATGCGCGTACACATGGTCAAGCTCTATGCAGAGCACTCCTGCCACAGCCACTTCTAATGCGTACCATTACTGTCAACACATAGTCAGATTGCTCAATTGCTGGACATTCAATTGCCATGCAATGTGGCAGCAAACAGAATTTTCCATGACAAATTAGCATAGTCAGATTACATACCACTTCAAGTTCTCACCGACTTATCTACAAATTAGTACTCAATTGCCTACATATACATCATGAAAGCGTACACAACTGCTGTGATGAAACACATCAATACAACAAACTGCATCACATTCCTCTTCTTCTGCACTTGTAAGTCAACAGTCTTCTCCAGCAGCAGCTCATCCTTCTGCATCAACAACTCGTACAGCTGCGGCTTGAACTTGCCGAGGACGCCATCTGCTTGAACTGGCTCCACAATTCGCCGTGCGCCCCTGCCCAAGTCGCCGTCGCCGTCACTTGGTCTCATGGGTCAAGAGCGCCGCCTGCCGTGCCCAGGTACGCAGCAGACAGCCACTGCCCTGCCTAGGTCCGTAGGTCGCCACCGGGCCAGACCGCCGCTGCCTAAATCGCCACCGCCGCCCGCTCTGTTTTGTGAGTGAGAAAGGGGATCAAAAAATGAGAGAGAGCGAGCCGGCAGGGTGCCCGCTAGTAGTCAAAACCAGGCTACATGGCCCATTTTAGTCGAAACCAGGGTCCATGTCATACTATAACCACCTTAAGCGTTACCAGGGATGAAAAGTATCCAGTTTAATTAGTTGAGGGACTGAGTTTTGGTGGTTTTGGAGTTGAGGGACGATTTCTGAACTTTTGCTAGAGTTCAGGGATGAAAAATATACTTATCCCTATAAGTTATTAGCATGACAAGATAGTCACTGCGACGCGTGGGGGAAAAATAGACATATGCTCTAGTGATGTAGCGGTCTGGCAAGCGATATACTATGAATTCTGCGTCGAAGAAATGGTGCCCACTAATGCTACTGCAGGCCCTACAAATGTTATTTAGCACAATGATTTTAACTTCTTAAACTTCTTGTGACTGATTCTAACCAATTGTTGTACAGACAATGAAGTCTATTGAGAATGCAATCGCTTCATCTCCATTGGGCATCAATCCAACCCCTGACGGCAGTAGGATTATTGCAGCTGTACCTCCGTAAGTGTAAATTGTAATGTTACTGTTATTGTTTATCGTAGGTCTGTGCTTACCTGTAAGTGATTTAAGAGTTACTCCCTCCATTTACAAATATAATATGTTCTAACTTTTTTGTGAATCGGATGTATATAGACATGTTTTAGTGTATTTGTTTGCTCATTTCAGTCAGTATGTAGTCCATATTGAAATATCCAAACATCTTATATTTGTGAACGGAGGGAGTACTTTCTAGGTCCACTACTGTCCACAAACTTGCGATAAGTTGCACTCATATTTATCATCTTTTTTACTACATGCACTTTCTGGTCTTAAATTTGTTTGCGCCTTCTAATTTAATTTGTCCCTGTGCAGATTGACGAAAGAGACTATGCAGGTAAGATTAACTAAGCTTAAATCTCACTTTTATTCTTGAAACTACTAATGAATTTTCTGGTCTTGAATATAGGCAATGTGTAAGGTTGTTACTAAATCTGCTGAGGATTTCAAGCAAAGTATTAGAAGAGCACGCCAAAAGGTAATTTTACATTACTCTCGTTTCTTCAATTTATGATGATCGATGTTTTGAAGGCTTAGTTGGATATTTGTAGTGTCACTGTATGGTTCATTCAGGCAATTGTCACCGGGTATATGTTTTCTTTTGGGACTTGCATTTAGGAGAGAGCTATGAATTTTATGATGTAGTATTTCTCATATGATATCTGTTGAAAGAGGGTGCGCTTACTCCACTTGTCCTCTGGCCTATTATAAGAGTTAGAATTAGAAAACCATGCGACAGTATTATGACCTCATGAAGGGAACGGTGCTGAAGACTACTAAATTGATCTATATAATTGTATTCTTACTCTACAGTTTTCCTTGTGTATAATGTTCACTGTCATGCTGTAGTATTTTCTGAATATACGGCTTGTCCTAGCATTTGATCCTCACGACTACTCATGTTTCTCTGAAATATTAGGATTCAATTTCGATTCTCTTATGCCCTTTCGTATTATTACATTATATATATGCATTTCCCTTGTGTTTCCAGGCACTTGATACAATAAAGAAATCTTCATCTAGCATGCCAAAGGATGATATAAAGCGACTCGAGAAAGAAGTGAGTACTGAACAATGTTCTCAAAGGGAATATGTTGTGTGGTAGTAAATATCTTACACATTATGTTTCCTCCAGGTCGAAGAATTGACCAAGAAGTTCATCAAGTCGGCAGATGATATGTGCAAGGCCAAGGAGAAGGAAATCTCTGGAAGCTGAGCCTGTCCATCTAGCTGATGTTCCTTCCTTCGTTTACCTTACACAACTTCGATGCCAGTGATGTTGAGCCACTGAGGTGCCGCAGCCATATCAAAGATAATAGTTTTACCTTGTGGCATTGTAGCCATATTGTTAGCAATTCAAAACAATGTGATAGCCAGGACAAGCTGGCAGGTGTTGGTGATGCAACTTTGATTATGGTGTAGGTAGCCACGAATTGATACTTGAGAATGAAAACTGATTTAGTGTGCCCATTATGGTTTCTCCTGTTCAGCCGTTGTACTATGCCTGGCCGTCTGTCGGAGTCTTATCTGTTACTAGCTGTGATTACCCACATAATCTTGATCAACAGGTCGCTTTTGGTATGTTTTCGTGGACTAAAATGCTACTCCCTCCATCCCAAAATCAAAATATAAGATCATTTAAACCCTTTCCTAGCCCTTTCTCGACTTGATGAACTTGGTCAATTCTTCGACCTGGAGCCAACATTGACCTCTTTTCCAACCACAACTACTCCCGTCTCAAAATATATTCCAAAATGTAAGATCATTTTTTACATTATCATAAGTCGTGTCGATTTCCTCCAGGTCGCATAATCTTGAGCAATAGATCACTTCTGCTAAGAAACGGCATTCCGTATTATTTTTTTGTGTGTGCAAAAACTGGGGAAGAGAAGAATCAAGAATAGAGCCATAGGCGTGATGAAAGGGCGAACTTCTCGAAGATAGTGAGAGTGAAAGCCAACTACAAGCATAGCCAAAGCAACTTGGCCAAAAACATACACCAAAGCTGTACAAACTACAGGCCCTGAACCAAAAACATCATGGCAACCCGGCAAAGCCTTCGAGCAGAAGGCCAGCATACCCCAAACTCCACGCATCAACTCGCTGCTCTAATGTCCCCTACTCTTTACAGGCACGTCAGGCACGCTTGCTGCAAGCTACCAAAGCCAAAGCCTACACGGAGCGAAGGCCATGCCGCTACCTAGTTCCCCCGCTTGCCGAACACCGCCCTAGTGAGCGCCCTGATGCCCCGCACCCACAGCTCCGCCGCCTCCTCCCCGCCCTGGCACACGAAGTGCACCTCCTTCCCCGTCGCCGTGACCACGCGGAACAGCCCCGGCGCGTACGCGTCGTCCCCTCGGCGGCCCTTCCTCTGCCGGTGCCGCTGGAACGCCGAGCTGCCCCCGACCTCGGCCTCCACGCACATCACGTTGCGCCGGCTCGACCCGCCCCACCGGAGCACGCCGGCGGCGGTGACCATCCGCAGCGACTTGCCGTGCGGCCTCCCGCGCCCGCCCTTGGTGTGCTTGACGACGCGCGCGCCCGCCAGCACCAGCTGCCGGCCCAGCTCGTCCATGATCACGTCCTCGGCCTTGTTGAACGCCGCGGTGGCCAAAGCCGACCGCGCGAGGGAGAGCGCAGTCTCGCCCCGCGGGGTCTGGATGTCGCACCGGGCGCCATGGGAGATCAGGAGCTCGCACACGGTTGCATGGCCTTCTCTCGCGGCCAGCATGAGCGGAGTGTAGCCGTCGCCGTCCGGCATGTTGACGTCGTAGTCCGTGCTCGCCAGGTGATGCACGGCCGCGCTGTCGCCGCGCCGGGACGCGCAGTGCAGGGCGTAGAACCCGCCTGCCGGCATGCCCTTCTCCAGCGCGAACTCCAGCATGACCTGCTCGAAGAGGTCCCTCTTCTTGCTCTGCTGCGCGAGCCCGATAGCCGTCTCGCCACGCTTGTTGCACAGCCTCACGTTGGCGCCGGCGAAGACGAGGGCGCGGAAGGCGTCAACGTTGCCCTCCTTGGCGGCGGCCATTATGGGCGAGCACCCGTCAGCGTCCTGCTCGTCCACGTCCACGCCGGGCTGGGCGAGCAGCACCTCCAGCGCGGCGGCATCGCCGCATCGTGCCGTGAACATCATGGGCGAGAACACGTGCCGATCGCTGGACAGAGGGATGGTTCCGGACCGAATCGCGCCAAGAACGGCGCGTTCGAAGCCCGCCTTCCAGCCGCCCGAAGAAGCGACGGAAGCCGCGGACTCGCCTGCCAAGTTCAACAGCGCGACGTCCGCTCCGGCTGACACGAGAACCCTGAGGCAGTCCTCTTGCTTGTGGCGCGCAGCCAGGATGATGGCGACATCGCCAGCCTCAGCCCTGGCGTTGACGTCGCAGCCCTTGTCCGTGAGCGTCTGCAGGATCTCCTGCTGGCCGAGGCGCGCGGCCAAGTGAACAGGCCTGAACCTGCCGCTGCGGGACGTCCTCACGGGAGCTTCGCATTCCGCGCCAGAAGCCAGCAGCGTCTCGACGGCGCCGACGCTGCCGCAGAGGATGGCGTGGTGGAGCAGCGTCCGGCCAAGGTGCGTGGCGCCCGACGAGTACCCGTTCTGCAGGAGCATGCGGAGGATGGAGCCGGTGGACTCGTAGTACTCCACGGCGCACCAGGCCGCATCGTAGGGCTCCGCGAGACCCGCGCCGACGCGCAGCTCTTCCCCGGTGGCCGCGTCCCAGGACCACGCTCCAAGCCTCACCTTGGTGTCCCTCTTCACACCAGCCTGGAGAAGACGCGCAGAATGGTGTCAAAACTCAAATGCAGCGACAGCGAAAAGAGATTGTGGATGTAGCGGTGCACACCTGAAGTAGCTGACGAACCACGGCGACTTGCCGGCTCACGATCGCGGCAAAGAGCGCTGTGCAGTCGACGTTGAGGTGCAGTGATGGCTTGAGAGAACGCAGAAGCACCCGGGAGGTCGCGTTTGGATCAGCCCCACACTGCAACGAGAGAATCAGATGATATTAGAGAACATTGTAGTAGTAGTTAGTTAAAAAATCATGGGTAGAAAACTTTGAAAAACATCTTATTCAAATTGTTTTCTAAAAAACAAATAAATCGGCAAAAAAAAATTGGGTTAGATCCGCCGAAGCGGGTAGCCTTAACCGCAGTGTGCTAGGTTTCTGTCAGGGGAGATGCCAACCGTCTCTCCTTTTTACGAACACGGTGGTGTGTGCTACCCTTCGCCTTATAAACCGGTCACAGTTTCTCTAAAGTAGCGAGGTGGGACTAAAGACTACGACGCCCCATGCTGCGGCTCGTCGCGCGGCGCCCACGCCGTCCCAGCCCTGAGCCCTACGACAACACTTCGCTAGCAGTTGAAGCCCAAGCCCATATGTTGGTGCTAAACCGTTTTGCCAGAAGCCCATGTAATACTTGGGCCCATGTAGTCGAAGCCGCAGGTAAAAGCCCAGAAGATAGAAGAAAAGAAATGTAACATCTGGGCATACCTTGACGAGCGTGTCGACCACGTCGACGAAGCCGCGAGTAGCAGCAGACACGAGCGCGTGCACGGCGACGCGCGGGCGGACGAGGTCGGAGCGCATGAAGATGGCCGCCAGGGCAGCCTGCCCCTGCAGCGCCGCCTCCACGATGGCCTCCTCGCAGGCCGGCTGCGACGCACCGGCCCGCACCAGCAGCTCCGCCACCTCCGCGCGCCCCTCCCGCGCCGCTGCCGTCGCCGGGTACCCACGGAACACCTTCCCGTTCACGTCCGCCCCCTTTGCCTGCACGCCACACATGAACGAACCATCAGAAACTTGCAAAGTAATTAGAACGAACCTGCAACAACTACTAATAATCACGGGAATAATTAAGTTCATGGATCGAGCTGTGTAAAAAAGTTCCTCGAAGCCAGTTGAATTCCTGAAACAAAATGTGCATAAGGCCTACTTCTAATTTCGCTTTCACTGCACGGAAGGTAAAGATGAAGATGGTCCAACAACGTACGTACTACTACCAGAAGAGGGGCAAGGGCGATGCCCATCGGGACTCGGAGCCATAGCTGGCCGGGTAGCAAATGTCGCTGTTGCTCGTACTATGTCCGGTCAGGTCGGTGATGTGGTGACCAATATGTGGACTGCTGGCCGGCGAGCCTGCGCTGTGCAGGTACTGTTGCATTGGCACTATGCCAGGATTCATTTATGCAGGAGAACAGAAGGGACCTCCTACTGGAAGAGGGAAGCTGGTCAAAATTCTGCAGGTGATGGCGTCGCTCTCCACCTTATCGAGATATCAAATCTTTTATGTTTGTGGCCTCATTACCTCTGTGTCAGCCCAACGTTGCTGCATGTAGCAGTAGTAGCTTTCAAGATGGCCACACCTACCGAGAAAATATCCAGGCTTGCGCATTTGCTCTGGTCAAGCGCTGCTCGATTACAGACAAACAGTGCTTCCCATCGTGTTTTTCATTTCACTTTCTACTACAAAATCGAACATAATGAATGCATGAACAACGGTTCCGTTCAGCAATGAAAGATGCTGTGAGCATCGATGTTAAGCATCAAAAGTCACGTCAGATGTCCAGTTTAACCATCCACTCACTGTGTAACAAGACCTCCCTGTATCAACCTCAAGGAAACCTACACCATATTCCAGCACTGCGCGTCGCTAACATTAATGCATTGCACTGGTGCACTAAGCCGAGGTGATGTTCCTAACAGTGCATGGTCTCCCCATGTCACCATGAATGGCGCACAGGCACAGTGGAGGCCACCACCGGATACACGTACACGAGGAGAGGCAGGCGCGGCAGGACAAGGAAGGACGTGCCCGCGGCTGTGCATGGGCGCCAAGTGCGCGTAGCTGGCTAGCCATGAGTGATGAGAGGGGGGGTACAGCTGGCCGGTGGCAGAGGGGGCAGGCAGACCATGGCTACGAGACAAGGAGCACGACAGGGTACGTGGGTGAGCTCTCCGTACCGTATCGATACCTCCTCCGGCTCCTCTCCCCCGTGCCGGCTCAGGGGAGCCATGCAGAGGCCGAGCGATTGCGATGCGATCGGGCATGTGATCGTGATGCATTGCACTGGGACGGTTTCTGTCACACACATGCGTGTTGCGTTGGTATCTTTAATGGCGAGGCCCTTGGCGCTGCCACGGAGAAGGATCGCCTACTTCCATAGCCCTTGGCCTACTTGCCGGCCGGCTTGGGGCTCAGCCTCTCAAGGGGCTAGGTTTCATGGCGTGATCAAATACAGCTGGGGCGGTTTGGACGTATTGGATCGGCGGCCTGCCTGCCTGTGCAGATGGCAGATGCGGATCATGTGGTTCCGCTGGGCGAGCCGATGCGGCCCCATCCTCTCCGATCGTGGATGAAACCGGCTACTGTTGTTGCCATTGCCGGCATAAGCCATGCCGGCCCGGTTGAGCTCGATCGGCTGTGCTAGCAACAGGTCTTGGGATCGGCTTCACGCTTAAAAACACACGAGAGGTTCAGCCCTAAATTGTCCGATCCGGAAGACCCAGCAGACCGAGATGGTGCAGCACGCCCGGCCGCATCCCCGTTCCATGCTAGCCAGCCAAACGAAGAGCTCCAAACGCACGAGATGCTGCAGCAAAGCATGCGCTCTGGGACGGACGAGGGCCACACGCCGGCCATGGGACTCCTGTCACCGGCGATGGCATTTATTGGCCTTGGCAGAGATCAGGGGGGAGTGCCGGTACACATGCGCCGTGCGCTTTGCCTGCGAGGCAAAAACTACTAGTACATGGCATGGCATGTCATGGCCGGCCGGGGTACGTGCTCGTGCTCGGCCCCGTCAGTCGCAACCTACTCCCCTGCCAGTCCCATTCAATAGCATTGGCATGGCGCATCGGGCCGCCCCATGACGCCGGCCGGACACTGCAAGCCACGTAGATGGATCATGGATCTCGGAGGTGGAGGCACACTCGTAGAGTAGAGTAGAACGATGTTGCATGATTACGCGTGAGGGGCACGTGAGGCCGTGATCAGTGATTAGGCCCAGGTGGCAACCGAAGGCCAAGGCAGAGTAGCATGGGATCCAACAAATCTGAGGATTACTGGAGTGTGCGCTACACAAGACATAGACACGGACGTAGGATGGACTCTGCTGGGACTCTGGGGGTCACGTGATACCAAACCCGACCGCGCTCACGAGGGGGGAATATATTGATTTCTACCAAAGCGTTGAGGTTGAGCTCTTCTCTTGCCTCTAGTAGTACACAACTTGATTAGCAGCACTGCTGGAGCACCATCAAACGCTCCAGCAGTTGATTCATTATATTATCGGCAGCAGTAAACAAAGCGTGGATGGGTCAGGGTTAAAGTCAAACCCATCTACCCCTGTCCCCCAAATCGTCTGTAAAATACTCCATTGCATCTCTTCTACGCAGCAGCATATGCAGAGTAGTCACAAGGCCTGCCTTCTAGACCAACCTTGAGGAGCACAATGGAGGGTGCCAAGACGCCGTATTTTTCTTTGCGAGGAGACGCCACTTTTTTACTACTACTACTACATTTTTGTAGCGCAATGTGCTGTACCAGTAACATGCCAAACCGTAGGTGTGTATGGATGTATTTTTGTACGGTATGTCTAGACCTCGATGGATGCACATATACGGTATATCTAGGACATGCTCCTACTAGACGGGGCTTGTCCAGGAAGCTTCCCTGCGTGAGCTGAGCTCCATGGGCGGCTCCATGCCCCCATCCGCTTCACAATTTCTATCATGGCAAGACAACAAAATGTGTCCGTACACGCATTAAAGAGGAACTGCAAACGCAAAGCAGCATGGTCCCCATCGCGGCCATGCGGGCTGGTACTACTAGTACTCCTTGGTAGCCCCTCTTCCAGAAACTAATTGCAGAGAAATGGGTGTGTTCCTCAAGTGAAGACTGGCGAGGGAACACATGATTGGGTCCGGAAAATATCTCGTAATGACTGTCCTTTATGTCTAATATAACTCCACTTTGGAGGGTAGGATGTGATTACTAGGAGGGGCCAAGCCAAGCGCGTACTAAACCAAAAATGGGATTTGTCCTGGCGCGTGCATTTATACAGTACACTGAACTATGATGAGCACAAAGCTTTTCATTTGGAATGGAATGGAAGTAGATGGCCAACCTTCTATCTATCGGGTACTGCGTATGAGATACAGACAGTGTGTTGTACTTGTAGTAGTACATCCGTGAGTTGCCAGCGCCCGCTGAGACCATTCGAAAAATGTGTTTGAAAATCTTCACCGGCTCGGTAAAGGTAAAGCGATTCTATATGCTGTGGGAGGAATGGAGCTAGCTAGGCTAAGGCCGGCCTACGCCCCTATGGCACTTCAAATTTTGAGCAGCGCACGCTCACCATGTTTCCTTTCCTAGACTATTTATAAGGACAAAAATGTGTCTTCGTGCTTGATAGTACTACAAATTCTCGATAAAACGCTTGCCATGATAAGCCAAATCGGAGCTCGCATTCATGGCTAAACGCATCAAACCGGCCGAAAAGCAGCATGCGCGATTGTTGTCCAAACCGCCCAGCAGACGGGACACAGGACACGCGAAACGGCAGCAGAGCAAGCCCCAAAACGACGAAGCAGGGAGGGGGGGAGCAAAGCACTCACGAGCAGCGCGCGGACGAGCGCGACGTCCCCATTGCCGGCGGCGAGGAAGAGCGGGGAGACGTCGGCGCGGATCTCCTCGCGCGACGCGCGCAGCTCGGCGGCGGCGCCCTCCCGCAGCGCCGTCTCCGCCACCCGCCGCGCGTCGAGCCACACCACCCCGGCGTAGTTCACGTCGGCGCGCCCGGACGCGAGCAGCTCGCCCGCCTCCCTCGAGTCGCCGCGCGCCACCGCCTCCACGAGCCGCTGGGAGGCCGCCGCCGCGGCGTCGGCCTGCTCCTCCGCCACCGGCCACACCTGCCGGCCGCCGGCGATCGCCGCCGGGCGCAGCAGCACCGCCATTCTAGAGAGCTTGCTCCTGTTGGCGGACGGCGTATGGAGCCTCCACTCTGCTTCGATCTCTCCGTGTCTGTCTGTGGGCAGGGGGGAGACTTGAAAGGGGGAGGGCGCGACGGAGGCTCGCCAGAGGCGTCATATATAGTGGGCTCTTGACACGGGCGGTGATGGGGGTAAAGTAACTGCGCGGTGAATTGGGTGCGGGGTCCACGGGTAAGTGTGATGCGCGATTGATGCGAGTGGGGTGGAGCGTGAGCCCTGCTCAGGAGCCTCGCGCGGCTTGGCTCCGGCTCAGGCTCAGGCTCAGGAGCCTGATGGGAGAGAGTGTGTGTGTGACAGACAAGAGGGAACGATTGAACGATACTGGCGCGCTTTGGGCTGCCAGGTGGGGTCTCGTATGTAAGATTTTGTGTTTTTTTATGGAGAACGTCGGCCTTTATTGATGAAGTAACAAACTTATAAAGAATCTCCAGGATGCAATCCGGAGTAGAATGAGAAATATAAAGACTAGTAGAAAACAAGCTTGATCTAGCTAAGACATGAGCTAAAACATGAAGATGGCGACGCACATGCAAGAACGACGCAGAGTGGAGGCCATTTGCCAACACCTTGACCTCAGCCAAGACAGATCCCACCATGGAACGATCCAAGGCTGGAGATTTCATGCGCTGCACCACCGAGAGACAGTCTGACTTGAAAAGCACATCGGCAAATTCTTCCTTCATCGCCAAACGGACAGCTCGCCGGAGCGTCATGGCCTCGGCCACTTCAGGATCCAACACACCTTTCACAGGTTCAGAGCAAGTCGCCACACAATGACCCAGATGATCCAAAATCACCACACCAATCCCAGATTTGTTCGGTTCCACCGAAATAGCAGCATATGAGAAAGCAACCATCGTGCCCTGCGGCGGCGGAGACCAAAGAGGGCTTGACGTAGAAGTCTCACGCCTACGTGCGGGCACATGTTTGTACTGGTGTTGGAAGATTAACTCTATGTAAGCTCGGGTCCTAGCCGCCGTGTGCCTCGGATGAGGAGCAGCAGATTCATTCCTTCCAGCACTCCGAGCCTCCCATATGTGCCAAATCGAGACAATCAAGATTGTCGCTTCCTGATCGGGACAGCTATAGAGAAAGTCAAAGAGCCACTGTTTAGGAGATGCAAAAGACGATCGACAGAGCTTAATATCGAAGCACTCCCTAATCATATCCCAGACCGCCCGCGCATGGGGGCAGAACAGAAGCGCGTGCTCCACACTCTTTGGTCTATCGCAGAAACAACATTCCGTTCTAGTCGGGACCTGGCGATGAAGAAGCTGCTCCCATGACGGTAGACAATCATGAGCTAATCTGTTGGGGAACGTTGCATGAAAAACAAAAAAGCATACACAAGATCTATCCATGGAGATGCATAGCTATGAGAGTGGGAGAGCATCCACATACCCTTGTAGATCGCTAAGCGGAAGCATATATAACGCGGTTGATGTAGTCATACGCTTAGCGATCCGATCACGATCCAATCGATCTAGTGCTGAACGGACGGCACCTCCGAGTTTAGCACACATGTGGCTCAATGATGTATCCTCCTTGTTGATCCAACAAGAGGGAGAAGAGAAGTAGATGGGATCACAACCAATACGACGACATGGTGATGATGGTGGTGGTGGAGCACCGACAACGCTTCGCTAAGCGTCTCCAGTACGAGGCAGTGGAACTACGAAGTAACGGGAGAGAGAGGGGCGCCAAGGGCTTGGTGTGTCCTCTTGGGACATCCCCTCCCCTCTATATATAGGTGGAGGGGCGTGGTAAACAGCCCCTCCAAGCCCTAGGGTTTTTTTTGAGAGAGATCTCGCCATATTTATTCATCCAAAACCATGGTCACAGGTACAAGGTTTGGGTCATGAGGATTTCCCAACCACACATGCCTACCTACGCCTAAGTTACAAGCAAACTTGACAGGATTATGAGCCTCAAAATTAAAGTTCCTACGTTCGAAAATAAAGGAACTGGAATTGAAACTATTACAACGGCTTATAATTTCATGTACTATAGCCGCATTTGGACCTCCTGTCCCCTTTGTAATATCATTCACCGCTTCTTGGCAATCTGATGCAACACAAATATTTTGAACGGCCAAGTCATCTGCTAGCGGTAATGCTTCACGACATGCAAACGTCTCCAGGATTAAAGGGTCATTGATCCCTCGGAAGACCACAACCGAAGATACCAAATATTGGCCCGTTTGATCTCTGCACAATGCCGCAACTGCTCCTCCACGTTGTGATCTCACAATAGCAGCATCTACATTAATCTTTACAGAACCATTGGGTGGTGGTAGCCAGCGTTTAGGCTGAGCCGGAGGTGGTGCTCTTTCCTCCCTACGTCCCTGTCCACTTTCAAGTTGACCCAGTTCAGAAAGAAAATTGTCCACAAAGTGAATGGTTTGCTGAGGGCTCTGGAACAATGACTCATACACTGCCTTGCGTCTAGCGTACCAGATTGACCACAAAGTGACAGCCATCCTTGTGAAGCTCGCCTGATCAAGTTCGTCGCTGAGCTCAAAAAGCCAAAGTCTAGCATTAGGTTCTGCATTTGCTGTCATGCGAGAGACAAGACCGTCGTCGGTCAGTGCCCATATGCACCTATACATAGTGCAAGAGACGAGGGCATGCCTCCATGAGTCTTGACACCCACAAAGCGGGCAAACATCCTGTACTGACATATTTCGCTTATTCAGGACATCAGTGGTAGGAAATGAGTGGTGTGCAAGTCGCCATAAAAAGATACGAACTTTAGACGGTACCTTCAACTTCCACAAAGAACTCCAAGATTTTTCATCCCTGTGAGTGTTAGATGATCCACATCGTCCTTCTAACCAATCCTCTCGCTGCAGTTTCGTTTTGAGTAAGAACTTATATGCCGAAGCCACTGAGAATTTCCCTTTCTTGTCCGGGTACCAAGCCCAAAAGTCATCTGTATTATTAGTGCATGTGGGTATCTTTAGTATTGCATTCGCATCTATGGGTAAGAAGACCGAACTCACCAAAGCTTCATCGCACCCTGCTGTTGCCGGAGACAACAGTTCTGAAACCATTCTCGGTGGATTCGCCACCAGGGAAGTGATCGGTATTGGCGTAGTTTCCTTCAGGATCCAGTTGTCGGTCCAGATGTTCGTGCTTTGACCATTGCCAATCCGTCTAATTACCCCTTGCTTGAGCAGATCACATCCTTCGATGATCGCCCTCCAAATTTGGGAAGGCCTAGACCCCAACTCCGCTTCAAGAATATTACTTTCTGGAAAGTAAGCTCCCTTCGAAATCCTTGCACTTAGGGTGTCTGGTTCTTGCATCAATATCCAAGCCTGTCTTGCCAATAGATCTAAATTGAAAACCTCAAGATCTTTGAACCCGAGACCACCCAAGTTCTTTGGTCTAGTCATCAAGTCCCAAGAGACCCATGCTGGTTTCCGTTCACCTTGCTTGCATCCCCACCAAAATTTCCGTATGGTTGACTTAATGTGGTTACACAAACCCCTTGGCAACTTAAAGCAAGACATCGAAAACACAAGTATTGCCTGGGCCACTGATTTAATGAGAACGTCCTTTCGACAAGCCGAGAGACATTTACTCATCCATCCTTTAACCTTGTCCCACACTCTATCACTTAAGTATTTGAAAGTTCCTTTCTTGGAGTGTCCAACATCTGTGGGCAGGCCCAAATATCTGTCACTCAAAGATTCATTAGGGACATGTAGGTATCCCTTAACAACATTGCGAACTATTTCCGGACAGCCCCTACTGAAGAAAATTGAGGACTTATCTCCATTGATGCGCTGCCCCGAAGCCATGCAATATCTATCCAATAGGTTTGAAACCTCTTCCGCTCCATTAGCACTCGCCCTAAAAAATAGCAGGCTGTTGTCCGCGAATAAAAGGTGGTTCACCGCCGGAGCCGACGGTGCCACCTTAATGCCGCTGAGCTGGGATGGCTGAATCTGAGATTTTAAGAGGCACGAAAGGCCCTCCACTGCTAACAGAAAGAGGTATGGAGAGATAGGATCTCCCTGTCAGATACCTCGTGTTGGGTGAAGCACTTCTGACTTGACGCCATTAAACATAACCGAAAAAGACACTGAGCTCACCATATTCATGATTACTTGCACCCACGATGCAGCGAAGCCCAGCTTCTCCATGATTGATCTAAGGTAACTCCATTCTACACGATCATATGCCTTCATCATATCTAGTTTCAGTGCAGCAAAACTGTTACTTTTGGCTCTGTTTCGCTTCGTAAAATGCAGACATTCATACGCTGAAATAATGTTGTCGGTGTAACACCCCGGATGTAATTTACCTTATATGTACTCCAACTCTTGCCGTTTCCGACGCTAAGTTGTTTTATTTCCTCGGGTTCGGGTTTTTGTCTCCTTGTGTTGTTGTCGTTGTCATGCATCTCATATCATGTCATCATGTGCATTGCATTTGCATACGTGTTCGTCTCATGCATCCGAGCATTTTTTCCCCGTTGTCCGTTTTGCATTCCCGTGCTCCTATCTCCTCCGGTGGTCCTTTCTACCTTCCTTTCGTGTGTGGGGGTTAAACATTTCCGGATTGGACCGAGACTTGCTAAGCGTCCTTGGTTTACTACCGGTAGACCACGTGTCAAGTTTCGTACCATTTGGACTTCGTTTGATGCTCCAACGGTTAACCGAGGGACCGAGAAGGCCTCGTGTGTGTTGCAGCCCAACACCCCTCCAATTTGCCCAAAACCCACCAAAACCCTCTCCATTATCTAGAGCGTTCGATCACGATCGCGTGGCCAAAAACCGCACCTCATTTGGACTCTCCTAGCTCCACCTATGCCTATAAATAGCCCCTCCTCGGAAATCTCGGATCTCCTCTTCCAAACCCTAGAAAAATTCCCCTCCAGCCGCCGGACAATGTCCGTTCCGACCGGACATTTCACCGCCGCCGCCCTCGCCCAATAAGGGCACGCCACGTGTCCCC